TCCTAAAAGGTTAATATTTGCTGTGCCGAATGGTAAGTGTCCGAGGGGTAGACTGAAGCGAAGGTGGGAAGATTGCATTAAAGCCGATCTGAAGGGACTGGGTTTGGACGGCGAACGGTGGAGGGAGGTGTGTAACAAGCGATTGGTGGTGTCGGTATCGAACCTTCGGGTTCGCTAAGCCTTATTATTATTATTATTATATATATATATATATATATATATATATATATATATATATATATATATATATATATATAGCTCCTGGTCCTCCAGGTTGGGAATAGGGCTATAACTCTATCCCGAAAAAAAACTCCTCATTAAAAAATCTTAACTAAGTCTCAGAGATGGAGCAGGCTTGTTAAGGCAGTAAAAGATCTACATGGTGTGTAATGTAAATAAAAAACAGGGAAATAAAAACATATATATATGTTTTATAATGAATAATAAATGATATGACAATAACAAACAAATACTATCCATAACAAATAAATAAGGCATTCCAATAATCATTCACGAAGTGACAAGTTGGGCTCTTTGTAATGTGGCTTGCTGTACGTAATTACTTAGGGCTTTCCAATTAGCATCTCTCAAAAGACTAAATAATTCCTCTGGAGAACATGTCTGCCAACTAAAATATTTTCCCCTAATCTCACTGCAGACACGATAGGACCCTAGAAAGTGCATGGTGTCTTCTTTTTCTCCGGAATTACAAACCAGACAATTAACATTACCTTCATGCACCCACGGTTTAACACTTAAATTAAATAATTTCGTCCTGCATTGAAAAATTAACCTTATCGATATAAAACCAAAACTGTTATTGAGATAGAGTGATACAGTAGCAAAATCATATAAACCTCCATGTATAGAAAAATTGGACTGCAGACATTTTTCGAGATTGCGCTGTTTTTCCCATTCCTCAACCATATGTTTAACTGTGATCAAATTTGCACATAGGTCGGCAGTATTAGAAGTATCAAGCCTAATATGATAAAATTCCTCTAATTCCAAACACTTCTGGTACCAATAAACTTTATTTTTGATCATGTATTTTGTTAGAATGTGTGTTAAACGGAAATCGGGCATCTAAAGAACTTTTAAAATGTATTTTTAGAGTATAAGCATATATAGAGGCGATACCCATCTCATGCACTAAAATATAATTAGGTGTATACCTTGAGAGGAATAACAATTTTTTTTTAAATATTTACATTTTTCCAATACATCAAACTGCTCGAAGTCCCCAACCTGCCCTGAAGTTTCAAAAAAATTACTAAGCCCTTCCTTGTGATATACTGTCGCTTTAGTCTTTAAATACATACCTTTTAAGATATTCAAAAATTTATGTGACAACCTGATATTAGTCAACTTAAAAAAAAGCCTCCCTATCTATGCAATCAAAGGCTGCTTTAAAGTCTACAAAGAATGCATCGACTTAACGACGTTCCTTTGCTAGAGTCAGTTTAACGATGCTGAACAAAGTAAAAATGTGGTCCACAGTCGAGTAGCCAGGTCAAAATCCGGCTTGAAAGTCATTTAAAATTTTGTTTTGTGTTCACCCAATTCCTAATAAAACAGCAGTGGATAGTTTAGTAGAAACATTAATGAAGGAAATACCTCTATAATTTTCTTCTTTATGGACATCTCCCTTTTTAAATAACGGATAAATGATCAATTCAGTGAAGCTTTGTGGAATATTTGCAATATCAAAATAATCATTAAATATCTTAACAATTTGCAATAAAACGCATTCTGGAGAATTTTTGAAAAATTCATAGGGCACAGAATCGAGTTCTGGCACCTTATTATTATTTGTCTTAGCTAATGTAATTTTTAATTTTCCTAGACTGATTTCCTTATCTAGCTCTAGATCTTTCCAATTTGGGGAAGCATACAAAATTTGGGAAGCTTTATTAATATGGTTCAACAAAGAGTTAAAATAATGTCTGAACTGCTCGGAAGTAATATTTGACTCACTAATGAAATTTCTGTTCTAAAATTGCATTATTAATGTCCACAGCTGTTTAGTATCCTTAATGCATTTAAATTTTTCATTAAGGTTTTTATAATAATCCTTCCGTTTTTGGATTACCAATTTTTCATATCCATTATTTGCAATCAAATATAGTAATTTAGTATAATTATTATTTGGCTCTCTATAAATATTCAGGAATCTAAAAGACTTGTTACGGGACTTTATACATTCGTTGTCGACTAAACACTATTGTTTTCCGAATTTTTTAGTTTCATTTACCTGTTTTCCATTAAAACCACATTCTATAATACATTTTAGTAAGTTTAATTTTAAATGTGAATCGTTGACTTTATCTAAGTTCACGTAATTTAATTTATTTCCTAATTTTGATTTAAAATATAGTTTGTCTTGTTGTGACCATCCTAATATTGTGGGTTTATGGTTGACTGTAGTGAATAATTGAAGAGAAGGATGTAAGGAATAAGGAAGGAGAAGGATTCATCAAGGCTGCTGTACAAGAAGAAAAGTCAGACCAAGAAGTAAAGACTTGTTAAGGGACTGACTAGTCTGACATTACTTCTTGTACAGCAGTCCTGATGAAGGGCTGAACTTCGGGCCGAAACGTCAGCGAAAGTCAAAATAAATAAAATGATTTATTTTTTACCATTTCAATTTGACTGAACACCCCAACCATCCTTCTCTTCAATTCCTAATCTTGTTTGGTTGATTGAAATATAAGATAACTTCAAAAAACTTGAAAGAATGTAAATCGCAGGAACTGTGCACCCTTTCGCTTATGTTTCCATGAATATCTTTTAAGGATCAAATGTATTTATCTCCAGAGCAAGAGCAATGAGCAGCATAAGGTCATTGATGTCTTATCCAGTGGTCACTTCACTGCTTCAACAATTAGCCTGTTAGCATCAGCTACAGCAATCATCGTTTCAATTCTCTCATATTCCAATTTATCTTTTAATTTTGAAATTAAATGCTGCTCGTTAGCAAGATTGTATAATAATTTGTTTGGCTGATCATTTGGGATGGTGCACTCATTGAAAACAATCTCCGTATAAATGCATCTCAGAAATCGGTGTGTGAGAAACCTCAAATTTCAGACATAAAACATTTATTAAAATGTGTGAAGACTGTTGTTTAAATAAATATCAAAATAAGCTGCTTGTAGAAACAATTAAGCTCTACAATTTTATTAATATCCACTTTTATTCTAAAACCAACTGATTTTAAGGTATATGCCTTGAAAACCCGTAATAGAGTAACTTATAGCTAGATGCTTTAAACATTTCTCAACTTTGGATGTTTTTTACTTGAGACCAGTAAGTATTAGCCAAATGATTAATAGAATACTTTTCATGCAGAATTCCACAAGGAATATTTTGGTTACTATTCATTATTACCATCCGACAAATGAATTCAAAGTTAAATGAGAAAAACTGACAAAGAGTGTCAAATTTGGGACGGTAACGGTGATTATCATGAATTAAGGGATGTTTCATCCACCAGGCGGAACTCTTTTGATTCTTATTCCTGACTCTAAAAAGAAATCTTTCTGAGAAGGACTTTATAAACTATTTCCTACAAAAACTGTAAGGTCCTGTGACTATCATACATTTAATGAATAATAAAAAAAGTTAACCTACATCAAATAAGTTATGAAAAAGCCCCTAATAAGTTAAAGGAATGATGCAATTTATTCAGAAATTTATTATAAACAGTGTGGAGGAAAATTGGAAAGGAAACTGAACTAATGAATTTGTGAGCTACAATGAAAGATGGAGCAGGGAGTACTATTGTGAGTTTACATAAGTCTGATTTTGAGTCAGGAATTTGGTTCTTATCGATAGAGAAATGGAGGAGTAAATATTTAAATTAATTAAAAGCAAATTTAAGGGCTGGTTAATGCTAAAATGGGTATATAACTAACATTTAAATTTTGCCCTTAGCCCAAGCTCTCCTCACAGGATTGGCTGCTATATAATTATCCAAATGAACATGGAATCCCCTCTCCAGAGCCTAGATTAAATTCCATCGAACACTTATCGGCTTATTTCAATTCACTGCTTGGAAACCAAAATTTATAAGCGAAATATCTCAAAACTAAATTGAATGAAAAATGAGGAAAAATGATCTCCCAAGTCACTTCAAACTTGATCCTATCAATGCCTAAATGGTACTCAAAAACAGTGGACTGCATTCAAAACATTAATTTAAAAATAAAACAATAAATTACTATTTAACATAACTATGTATTACAAATGATATTTATTTAATTGCTAGGCAAAGATGTTTGAGAAAATTGATAAGAGTGGTATTGAAGTTATAATTAAGAGTTTAAATTTTAAAAATGTAGGTAAGAATTGTTTTTATTGATTTTTCTATCAGTTCACAGAAGAAAACTATTGCTGGCCACTGTAGCTGTTCTTCAGTGAATTAATGTAAAGTTGGCCAAAAATATTTTTATTTTAATTTCATTGTTTTTATTAACATAGTAATTGTAATAGCCTTAACTATAACCATATGTTTCAAATGAATTAAAATTAATGTACATCATATGTTTTAATTGCATTAATATTATTGTATTGTCATCAGTTGGTTGAAAATAAAGGTATGTTTTATTCTAACTTGTTTCCATTTTTAAGTATAATCATATATTCCCAGAATTCCACTCAAGTCACAACAGAAACTAATCACAGCTCCAAACAGATATTCCTATTTGAAGAGTTGGTGACCGAATATTCAAACTTCATGAGACATTTACATATCTCATACCATTGGTATATCAAAGTTTGCAAGAATTAAACATACTATGTTGATGTCTAACATTCAAATATGAATGTTTTTTCTAATTGGTCTGATATGAAAACTTATAAAAATTAACCACATTCCTCCATTAATTCTATTTCACTTCATCCAATAAGCTACAATTATGAAACAAGCATTTCACTGTGATATTTACGAATTTTTGAATTTATATTTTAATAATTTATAATAAATATTTTATACTTACTTTTAAATTTTGCTTGGGATATTTTATCTTTATATAAAACGGCATTATCAAAGAACAGTGATTCTCCCAAAACTTTGTTATCAAAAAGTCTTCCAATCCATACTAGCATAAATATAAAAGAAGATTCATTAAGAAAAATGGTGATTCCTTCAATATTTGAAGTCTTTTCATCACTTAATGACCCTTGTGGAATTAAAATTGAAGTTTTTAACAGTTCTTTTTTGAAACTTGATCCTTTTAATCCATCTTTATTTTGTCTTGTAGAATATGATAAATACAAGGTCGTTAACATAAATAAAATATCATAGTAGTGGGGTACAAGAGCACTTATATTATCTGCCATACACAAGAACTCTACAATCCATGGAACCGTTAAGACTAAAATTCCATTTTTTACTGCTTCTAACAAAAATTTCTTGATGTCAAAAGGAGGTAGAATCTAAAAAAAAAAAAAAAAAAAAAAAACTATTAAGTGAAATTAAAATATATGGTTGAAACAAAAAATCATTTGTTTTAGACAAAAATTTATAATAATGACTATATGAATAACCAATCTGGACATTTTTCTATAATTATGCGTGCTTTCACAGATATTCAAAAAGTGGAAAGGGAGAGCCATAGGTGGGGAATGCCTCAGCCATGTGGCTTCCAATACAGGGATGGGCAAATGCTTATTTCAGTACTGAGTACCAAGTATTTTACTCATATGTATTTTGCTTTAATTAATTTATATGGGTGAAATCCGTTCAGTTAATAAGCAAGTTTCAGCAAGTTGTTTATATTCACATCAAATACCCAAAATATAGTGCAACACCTTTAGTGTTTAAAGATTTTATAAAAATAATAAGTAGATATTAATAATAACCAAATCAGTTTCTTGTTCTTATTTTATTGGCATAACAGATGCATGTAGCTGTCTTTAACCTCTTCAATAAGCCTTCAATGTACCTAGGAAATATTGTCTTCTGAACGAGGGAAAGAGCCACTCAAACTCTGGATTCAGTGATAAATGTCTTCAAATACTTATTTCTTGGTTTGTTGAACTTGATACATTGGATCAGAAAAATACATATGTATGTATGTGTATATATATATATATATATATATATATATATATATATATATATATATATATATATATATATATTAGAGATGGGCATATTTATATTCAAAAATATAAATACGAATACCATTTATATTTATGGTACAAATTAATATAAATATGAATGTATTCATATTCATAAAAAGTAATATGAATGCAGAAGATACGTATCCATGACTGTAAATATAAATACGGCCATATTCACGATTGTAAAAGTGAATACGGCTGTATTTGCACCTATAAAAGTGTGTAACGGCGACAGTTTCCGGCATAGTTTCTGCTCTTACCACATGGTACAACTAGTTCGACTTCCCGCTCTCACTACCAGGAACGAGTTCGCCTTCCTGCTACCAGGCACCGCCCTACAAGCTCGTCCATGCAACATACTAAAATTGTATCTTTTATTTGTCATTATTGTATTATAAAATACTTAAATTGTAAATTGAAATATGCATATTCATTATAAATACTTTTTATTAATAAAATTTAATGGCGATAACATATACTGAACAAAGCTCAAAATAACTGTTATTGTAACAGCTCTTGGTAGCTGGTTTGGTCTTGGCGGAATGAATACCCCAGTCAAACCTCAAGTTGCCAGTTCTACGGAGCTCCATCCCTTCAGGGTGTAGACCTATATGCAGGCAGTCAGTATGTGTATCTTATACGCTTTTGGTTCACCTCAGTCTGCTCTTCTCATTTAACAGCAACCTTTTACCTTTATCCTCTTCTTTTATTCCATGTAAGTAGGACGCTGATCAGTTCGCTTGCAGTCCTATATACTGAGTCTGGAGATTGATCCCTCTGTCAGTATCTCATCCTCCCACAAGTCCGGAGTTTGATCCCTCTGTTTACTTATGGGCTGCTAATGGCAATAAAGATAAGTTTAATGGACGGCCAGGGTAGGTACAACACTCGGAACGATACCATGGAAATTACAACGGGGAATATGTATACACGACAGACTTAAGTTGAAGCAATGAAAGGGGCAAGAGCTATCAAATTTGAATAGTGACCTTTCCGGACCTGCTGTTCAGTGTGTAATATGCGAATATATTTGTTAATGTGTTAAGTTTTGTATATAAAACAATGTATGAAGTTGATAGCGAAACTGAGTGTGTTTGTTTACCAGGCTTTTGTAATCTGGATGATAGGATTTTTTTTTTCAAGTATTTTCATGAGTGTACTGGCTCTTTAAGAAATTCCAATATTCTCACCTACTCAGAATTTTTATTGGGGGGAGGGAGGGAGGGGATGCCCGAAGAATATAATACTATATATAAAAATAAAAAGGTATATATAGTAATTTTTTAAAAATAAATAATTTTATAAATACATTTTTTTTAATAAATAAGAGTATTCATTAATAAGATTGTGTGAAAATATTTGCATTCACTTCTACAAATTTAAGCGTATTCATTTTAATATACATGAATACTGCTGTATTCACTTTTACTAGTGTAAATACAAAGGCTCGGGAATTTATATTATGTACAAACATTATAAATGATAATTAACATAACATAATACCTGTAACATAATTAAAATATATTGTAAAAGGATGAATATAATACTATATATAAAATAAAATGATATACATAGTAAATCTATTTTTTTAAATAAATAATTTAATAAATACATTTTTTTTTAATAAATAAGAGTACTCATTAATAAGGTTTTGTAAAAATATTTCCATTCACTTCTGTAAATTTAAGCGTATTCATTTTAGTATACGTGAATACTACTGTATTCACTTTTGCATTTGTACCATAAATATAAATGGTATTCGTATTTATATTTTTGAATATAAATATGCCCATCTATATATATATATATATATATAGATTGGCATATTATATATGTATATGTATGTGTATATATATATGTATGTATATATATATATATATATATATATATATATATATATATATATATATGTATGTGTGTATACGGTAACATCCCTCTTTTACAAATAATAATAATATAACCTCGGAAGCTCACTTCTTACCATTGGGATACTTTCTAAATAAATAAGAGGTGAAATAATAAACAAAATTATATGAGAATTAATATATTTATTTATCTCAGGTGTGGGTCACTGAAAATCAGATCAACTCAGACAAACTATTATTATTTATACTAAACATTGTTTAATTTTAAAATAAAGTCAAATATGGATTGACAAGCTAACCTTTTTTCTATAGATACTATTTCTTCCTTTGTTGCCCTAAATTCATGTCTTCAAATACTTTCAAATGTTCTGCCAAACACAACTTCCAAGATGGTTTTTATCCTCTGGAATAGGACAAAGACTACTGTGTCTCACTATAACATAATGAGCGACCTGTCGTAACATGAGCCAGGGTAATATAACCCTCATAAAACTCATATTCTAGAATGAGTAGGATGACTGGTAGTCCATCACACTCAAAATTATACTTAGTGAGTCCATGGAACGATACTTCATATAACAACACTGTTCTTTCCTTACTCCAGTCACCGAACTTTCCTAACTCATCTTTGAATCGTAGAGTTATCTTTTCTGGAATTAAAGGAACTTCTGGACTAAAATAATTATCATGCTTTTCTCTGCTGGATTTTACTCCTTTGAATTCAATTTGAAACTTGAGAAGTTCTTTCTTGATATCTATAAGATTGACTGTATGAGTTTCTACTGGAACTTCTGTTGTCAATAATTTTTCTTCAATGGTTTTTTTATCTTTCCTTAAGAGATTTTCTGATCCAATATCAATTGAAGAATTAATTTTGCTAAGCTCTTCAGTAACAGTTTGCTTCTTATCACTTTCTGAGTGACCAAAAATAGTTTTCTCAGCCAGTTTAGTTTCTTGAACTTCAGTTATATTTGCAATAATTTGGATTTCTAAGTTATCACAATCTAATAATTTTAAGTCAAATCATATCTAAACAATATCACAATATTTGGCACACAAAATTAGAGACACTGTGAAAAAGGATAAAGTAAAGGACAAGTGGATCCATAAAATAATTAATTTAAATAATTAGTTGTGTGGAAATATTTATTAATTTTGAAATGGATAATAATAATGAATCAAAGTTAGAAACACCCAAAGCTTCCATCATTTGTTCAGTGAGTGAAAATGTCGAAATAAATAAGATAGTAAATGTAGAGGAGTTTTTTGCAAGTTACAGGAACATTGTGAATCCAAAAATGGCAGCCAGAAGTACTGTCAAAGATCATAATAATGAACTTCACAGGTTAGAGAATAACAATGCATCCATTGTTTCCTAAAATAAACAAGATAAAGATATTTCAATAAACACGTTGGCAACTTTGTTAATTGAAATGATAAAAAATAACAGGAAATCAAATGAAGAAAATTTCAACAAATTAAAAATTGAAATACAAGAAGATAACCAAAAATTAATTGAAGAAATTAAAATTGAAATAAAGGAAGATAACAAAAAATTAATTGAAGAAGCTAGAATTGAAATAAAGAAAGAAAAAAATTAATAGAAGAAAATAACAGCAAATTAATTGAAAATTAGACCAAAATAGGGAAGAAGTAATAGAATTAGCAAACAAAATATTAATTGAACAAGACATAAATCAATCATCAAACATTTTAGATGATAAGCTAAAACAAATAAAAGAAGATGATAAAAACATAATAGAAGATAGTGACAGCAAACTAAAAAATGATAATGAAGAAATGAAGCAAAGCTTGAATTCAACTAATATGGAACTAGAATACAATAGGAAATCAAATAAAGAAGATTTCAACAGAATAATGAATAAGCAAGAAGAAAACAGAAATAAAATAAATGAAGATAATAATAAACTAAGAAATGTAATTAAAGAAGATAACAAACTTGGGAATGAAATGAAGGAAGATATTGAAAAATTTAGAAAAGAGGATAGAAGTGAAATAAAAGGAATTAATAGTAAACTAATAGATAATATAGAAGAAGACAAAAGAAATATTGAAAAATTTGATGAAGGTGATGAATAAATAATTGTAATTGAAGTAGGATCAATGAGGGAAGAAAACTTAAATGAATATATAAAAATAGAAAAAGGAAGGAGATGCTCTGGGGTGGAGGTCATAAATAGACTAAATAGTGCCCCAGACTTTGCAGGTCTTCTTCAGGAAGGTGTGTTCAGCAAGGAGTTTCACTTAGAACCCAGTTCTTACATATATTTTTTGTGCTCCAATTTTTACAAAAAATTTAGTACCCCCATTAGACCGATATATCGGCCTTAGGATTCTAATTTATTATAATTCATAAACTGCTATAATTTATTATTATTTCATCATGATTTGTATATACATGAACATAAATTTAAGCAAAAACCT